TTGGGGGGATTCCGGGGGGGGGGTGGGGGGGGGGGTGCGGGGAATGGATGGGGAAGAGTAGCTATAAGTGTAAACAAAAGAACTTTGAAAGAAAACACAATGTGGTAATTCCCTGGTGGTCCAGTGGTTAGGACTCTAAGCTGTCAATGCTGGGGGCCTGGGTTCGATCTCTGGTCTGGGAACGAAGATCCCACAAGCCCTGTGGCACTGTCAAAAACAAAAACAAATAAAACAACACAATGCAAACCTACACAGGTAATGCTGCTAAACTCATGGATGGTTTTTGTCCAAAGGTAACAAAAGCAGGGATTCATACTGAGTAACTGGGTACTCCTTGTAGTTGCGTACTTTAATTCTCTTAAATCATGATACTGTCATCGTATCTTTGTAATAAACATCCCTTACAGTGGATACTTAATATTACTGACATATTAAACAAATGGCCTTAAGCAAAAAGGTGTGATCTGTACAGCTGACACTACGAAAAGCAAGTCATCTGGAAGTAGAACAGCAGCAGAGGCCACCCTTACAAAGTACAAAACACTCCTACTTTCCTGTGAGGAAAACCATAGCTATGGAATTGAAGCATAAACAACAAGCCCAGGTGGGAAACAAATCACAACACACTTCACTAATGGCAGGGACCATATGTTTTATCTGATTGATTGTGAACCTTAACAATTACGTTAAGAGAATGTAATGAGGAGTGAAATAAAGGATGTGAAGAGAACTGAATCAAGAAATGCTGGGCTTCCCTGCTGGCGCAGTGGTTAAGAATTCGCCTGCCAATACAGTGGATACAGGTTCGAGATCCTGGTCCGCGAAGATCCCACGTGCCACGGAGTAACTAAGCCCGTGCGCCACAACTACTGAGCCTGTGCTCTAGAGCCCACAAGCCACAACTACTGAGCCCGCGTGCTGCAACTACTGAAGCCCACATGCCTAGAGCCTGTGCTCCGCAACAAGAGAAGCCACCGCAATGAGAAGCCCGCGCACTGAAACGAAGAGTAGCCCCCACTCACTGCAACTAGAGAAAGCCCACGTGCAGCAATGAAGACCCACTGCAGCCAAAAATAAAATTAAATAAAATTTAAAAAAAATAATAATAAATGATGTTTCCATAGCCCCAATACTGTGCATAGGATATTATATGCTAAACATTAGACACATATTAGATGCTTGACAGATATAACCCCTCAAGAGATTTTTACTTTTATTTATTTATTTATGTTGCACTGCACAGCACGAGGCATCTTAGTTCCCCAACCGGGGTGGAACCCTGTGCCCCCTGCAGTGGAAGCCCCGAGTCTTAACCACTGGATCGCCAGGGAAGTCCCAAGATTTTTAGATTAAACATTCATATGAGCCAATCCAAATCCAGGGCTCCACGTTCTCCAATTCTGTCAAGGAACTATCCTCCATGGGGGTGGGGGGAGAAAACCATTTCGGTCTTCTCAAAACTTTGAGTACTCTACGAACCGCTTCCAGATGGGGTTTACACCTGGCCAGGCGAGTAAGGCGAATAAAGTGATCACAGACTGATTTCCTGAGACCACCTGAAAAGGGAAAGAGCGTTAAATAGTTGTGCACAGGCCTAGGGGTAGGGCTGGGGTCTCCGCAGCCTGGACAGGACAGGGCTGGAGCGACCGAGGGGAGTGTTCTCTGCTGACAGCGCGTCCTGGAGCGCAGACAGTTAAAAAAAATTGAGGACCTCGGTGCCAACACTTGAATTTGTGTCAGTATCCAAGTCTGAATAGGCCACGGGCTGTCCTGGGGACGAGAAACTAGGCGTCAGGAGCCTGCGGCCGGCGTCCCCGGCCCGCCAGCGCCCCCTCTCCATGCGAACGAGTCGAGCATGGGCGTTGGGATGAGCACCCCGGGAGCGGCAGTAGCCGCGCTGGTCTCCCCCAGGGTCCTTCCCGTCGTGCTCAGACCAAGCCAGACCCGCTCACTGTGGGCTCTGAGGGCCTCTGCCCCTTTCCAGCGAACAGAGCTTTGGGGAACCACTCGCGGGTCTTCAAAAACCAAACCCTCACGCGCTAACAGCAATGGCTGAGCCGGAAGTACGTCATCACAGTGACCCGTCAACCTATAATTTACCTTAAATTCTCTCTAGTGATTTTAGAGGACCCCACATCTCGGTGGTTCCTCCTTCTAGTTCCCACCAGACGAGCCTGAGGAAAAAAAGGCCAGGTAGTGTCTTCCTCTCAGGCTCCGCGTTCTTTTTAATTTTTTTGGCCGCACCACACGGCTTGCGGGATTTCATTTCCCTGACCAGGGTTCAAACCCTGGCCCTCGGCAGTCAAAGTGCAGAGTCCTAACCACTGGACCACTAGGGAATCCACGAGACTCCGCGTTCTGAGTCAAGGCAGAGGACTTGGCTTGTCCTAACCTTAAGGCCAGAGAAGGAAGCAGGGCCTTCATTCCATTGGATATCGGGTGAAGGGGCGGGTCCCAGCTGAGCCAATGAGCAGTGGAGCCTGCGAGGTCATCCTTCCTCTTGGAGGCAGGAGCCTCTTCCCTGCCCCTGCCGGGCAGATTTTCCACCTACTGGTGAGTCCCTCCCTTCAGGGCATAGAGGAGAAATCAGGGACCTGGAGAGACAGCTTAACTGGGCTGAGGGCTTGACCTGGACGGGGTGGAGACCTCAAGACAGAGAAGGCACCGAAACGTTTGCTGAATGATGAAAGTTGAGGAACAGAGTAGTGATCTTAATAT